TCTCCCGCGCCACACACGCGCGCGCGCACACACACACACACACACACACACACACACACACACACACACTGACACCCTGTGCATGTCCTGGCTTTCTGCCTGGCCAGGATTTCTGCTCAGACCCCGGATCCTATGTGGGTGCTGACCCTGGAGTCAATCTTCAAACCAAGACCCAGCGCATCCCAATTGGTCGGGGAGGGTTGCTCTGCTGGGCTGTAAATTCAAACCAGTGCCTGACCCACAACGTCAAAAGCCTTCTCTCCTCTCTCTCTCCCTCTCTCTCTCTCTCACACACACACACACACACACACGGAACCCCACCACCACCACTGCCCCACGTCTCTCCCCGTGCAACGGGAAGCGACTTGAACCCGGATGCGGACGCGCTACCTCCCGGCAGGCCCGGGCCCCCACGACGCAGCCCGGCGCCCCGCGGCCTCGCGGCTCTGCCCACTCGTCGTACCGACCTAGCTCCTCGTGCCCCGCCGCGTCGGCCGCCCCCGGCGCCGCCGCCGCTTCCATCTCTCGCGGGTCTCCAGGACGCCGCCGTTTAAATTTCTTCTGGCCGCCTCTGCCTACGCAGTGGGGCGCCCGGGCGAGGCTGCTGGTCGCTAGGAAGGAACGGCAACCCGGGGAGCAAGCGAGGCCGGGCTGGGGCGTCGGCTGGGAAAGGGCCGGGCAACCCGAGTGGAAAGACGCCTCGGAGATGACCGGGGTGGGAGCTTGGAGTTGGAGACACCCAGGCCTAGCGCTCCCCGAGGTAACGTAAATGTGGAGCCCCGACAGTTCGCAAGGCTCATTCTGTAAGTCACCTCAGCAAATACGAAGTTGGACGGGATCTGTGCTCACTCCAGGTTGGGGTTCCAACTACTCTGGTTATCGGTCTCTTATTTAAAAATACACTGTAGAACACACTCGGATGGAATTTAATTTAGGCATATACAGCCACTCTTTAAGGATTTTTAAATACCTTCAAGATAATTCGACGTTAACCGCGGTGCTGAAAGAAAATTAAGTTTAAGAATAATTAATACAGATCCAGATGAAGAGTATTTGACCCTTAGTTTATTGACAAACTTGTGAGATCGTTTAATGTTTATAACCATTCCACAGATGAGGCACACAGAGGTCAATAACTTTCCCAAGAACAGCAAGCTATTGTAATAAAGGGCAGAAGAGGAATTCTGTCTGCACCAGGACTGAGGCTCCAACCAACATGCAAAGCTGGCCTCTTACGTAAATATTTGATGAATCGATTGATGAAGCATGCTTTTGGTTTGAAGAGAAAATATTTAATTTAAGAAATGCTTTTTTAAAAAAAAATACATAGTTCTTGGGCCAGCAGATGGCATAGCAGTTATGTCACTGGACTCCCTCATGGTTGACAGCAATTCACGTCCTAGGCCGGGTGGCTTAAAACTCAGATCTGTGTGCCCAAGATCTGGGGAGGAGAATGGAGAAGGGACTGTGGCCTGACCATCTTCCATGGGGGTGGAGGAGTTGATTTTTCACTTTCTCTCTCACTGTCTACACACACACACATGCCCTTAGGCAAATATTTTTTTAAAAAAATCATAGTTCTTTAAAATCAACAACCAGACAAAACGTTTTATTTTGTCTGTTTCATTCAGTGAGATCCTTTTAGTAGAACTTCCTTTTTCCTTAGTAGGGGGGTGGTTGTCTGATTTCTAGGACCACTGATGTGATTACATGGTGATGATGATAAATATTTTAAATTCTGAGATTAAAAGGTATACAGTTCTATAATAGGTACATCTTTTCTGTTACATCATTTATAGGTTTTCACTTGATAACTAGTGATAGTAATGGTTTGTCAAATCCCCAATTTTTTTCTTACATCATCCTAATAATTCACACACCTACACATGCAAATTCCAAAGGTATGTTTTATTTGGAGCATTCCTGACAGATAACTGGATTATAGGAAGATAAAGAAGAAAATAAAGCCTGACTTTTCACATGGGCCTGGGCTTCTCTGGAGAGGCCCAGACTGAGGCAGGTGGCCAGTTGAATGTCTTTACAGAATTACAGAGAGAGAGAAGACAGGAGAGAGAAATAGAGATGATTGTAAGATTCAAGATAAGTATGGTTTTCATGCATCACTACATGAGAACATATTCATTATGATGTCTGCTCCAAGTCATAAATTAGAAGAAGAGACAGGGTAAAGAGGTATCAGAATAGAGACGTTATAAAGTATCTGTCAATTCAAACCTTGGCAATTCCTTCCTTTCCCTTCTTTTCTTCAACTTAACTTACTTACTTCCCTCTTTACAACAGCAGCACTGAGTTCCTATCTGTTGTAACTCTCCTTCCCTTACATTATAATTATTTCCCTGCCTTATGCTATACTGTGAGCCCTGCAGGACAGAGACTATTTTATTTGTCTTTGTCTCAACAGGGCCTGTACAACTGCCCACCCCATACTAGCCACTTAGTAAGTAGGTCCTGTAGGTCCTAAAAGCTATTGAATATAGCCATAAATTCATGAAAGGAAACAGATATCTTTAGTGTATTAATAAGCACATTTATAGAGGACCTCCCCTGAGCCAGGCACTGCGCTAGGTACAGGGGCTGTAACAGCAAACACTAATTGGCTCACTGCCACCATAGAGTTCATAGTATAGTGCAGGAGCCTATGAGAGAAAAGAACTAAACAAAATACTAATTATGCAGGTACAGTTGTTGGTGAGGAAAATAACAGGCTGCTGCCAGGGAACCTACTTTAGAGTGGTTAGGCAGAACAGTCTTCTCTGAGAACATTTAAGCTGACGCTGCAAAGTGGGAAGGAGTTGGCTGGGTGTGTGTAGGGACCTTCTGGGCCGTGAGGATAGACTTTTCCATATTATCGATGCAGAAATGGTTCTGCTCTAGACATGTTGATTTGAGACACCTATAATCTAAATAGACACCTTAGTAGCTGGATCTCTAAAGTTTCCACATACGTAAAATAATATTGCCAACCTTATAGTTGTGCAGATTTAATGCGATAAAGTATATAAAACATTTGTATATTGCCTGATTCATAGAAAGCATCGATTAAACTGAGCATATTAATTAGGGATTTTTAATTATCTAATTATCACAATAGACAGGCCAACTCAAACCACCTTAAGCCAAAAAGGGAATTTAATTTAGACACTGAGATCCCCAGGACAGAGATGAGACTCAGATCAGGAACAGCTGACCCTGATACCTCTGAGACTCAGACATCAGTAGTAATAGCTTTTCTCAGTACATCTGCTTGTGTATCTGTGTGGGTTTTTTTGCTGCAGAACTCCTCTGTTTTTCAGGTTCACCTGGCAGGAGCTTCTAGTGTATACAGACAAGTAAATGATATCAGGAAAACAATATGTGACCAGAATAAAGTTCCAGAAAATCCAACAACGAAATAGAAACCATAAATAGAGCCAAGCGAATTCTGAAGCTGAAGAACAAAATGATTTGTTGAAATATTTAATAGAGAGCTTCGACAGCAAATTCTGTCATGCAGAAGAAGCACTCAGGGAGTTCAAAGGCATGTCATTGAAATTATCCAGATAGAAGAACAAAAAGAAAAAAGAATTGAGGGAGGAAGCCTATGAGATTTGTAAGACTCCCATCAACTACATCTTTTCTCCTTTACATCATTTATAGGTTTTCACTCGATAACTAGTGATAGTAATGGTTTGCAAGAAACACATTTTATACTAATATATACATTATGTTAATTGTGCCTGGGTGTTTTATTGATCCTTTGTTCCTTTCTTCCTTTCTCGTGGTTTTCTTTTGTGATTTGATTATTTTCTAAACTGGTATACGTTGACTCCTTTCTCTTTGTCTTTTGTGTTCCTCTCAGAAGGAGAGGAACAAAAAACTTAAAGAAATAATGTTAGAAAACTTCCCAAATATGGAGAGAAAAATAAACATCTAGGGACTGGCAGGTGGCATGGTGGTTAAAGGCACTGGAATCCCACTTGGCCAACTGTGGTTCAAGTTCTGAATCTGGTGGCTTCCTTTCTCACTCCCCCTGCCATCTCTTATCAAACTGGAAAATAAGAACAATAATAAAGTTAAATAAGAATTCTAATAATAATAATAATAAATAATCATCTAGATCCATGAAGCCCAAAGAACTCCTTACAGGTTGAATATAAAGAGGTCTTCACTGGGACCAGCAGTTAGGGTAATGGCTATGTTGCTGGACTCCCACGTAGTCGACCACAATTCGAGTCCTGGACCTGGAGGCTTAAACTCACACCGGGCGTGTGTGCGTGCGTGCCCAAGATCCCGAGAGGAGAATGGAGGAGAAGGGATTGCGGCGTGGCCATCCCCCCTGGGGGGGGGGTGATTTCTTGCTTTCTCGCTTTCTGTCTCTCTGTCGCTCTCTCTCTGTCTGGTGAGCGCACACTCCCTATAGCAAAAACCTCTAAAAAAAAAAAAAAGAGGTCTTCACTGAGGCATTATAATCAAATTGTTGAAAGTCAAAAGAAGAGAGGATTTTGAAAGCATCAAGAAAAAAGCAAATTGTCACATAAACGGGAACCCCATAAGACTATCAACAAATGTCTCAGCATAAACTTCACAGGCTAGAAGAAAGGGGAGTAATAAATTCAAAGTGTTGAAAGAAAAAAAACTACCAACCAAGAATGCTACACCTGGCAAGGCTGTCCTTTAGAAATGGAGAAACAAGAACTTCCCGAGAAAAACAAAAGCTGTGGGAATTCACCACTAAATTTGCTATGTGAGGGACCAGCAGTTAGCGTAATGGCTATGTCGCTGGCCTCCCACATAGTCGACCGCGGTTCGAGTCCCGGACCCGGTGGCTTAAACTCACGCCGGGCGCATGTGCGTGCGTGCCCAGGGCCCTGAGAGGAGAATGGAGGAGAAGGGATTGCGGCGTGGCCATCCCCCCTGGGGAGTGATTTCTCGCTTTCTGTCTCTCTGTCGCTCTCTCTCTGTCTGGCGAGCGCACGCGCCCTATAGCAAAAACCTCTCAAAAAAAAAAAAAAATTTGCTATGTGAGGGACCAGCAGTTAGCGTAATGGCTATGTCGCTGGCCTCCCACATAGTCGACCGCGGTTCGAGTCCCGGACCCGGTGGCTTAAACTCACGCCGGGCGCATGTGCGTGCGTGCCCAGGGCCCTGAGAGGAGAATGGAGGAGAAGGGATTGCGGCGTGGCCATCCCCCCTGGGGAGTGATTTCTCGCTTTCTGTCTCTCTGTCGCTCTCTCTCTGTCTGGCGAGCGCACGCGCCCTATAGCAAAAACCTCTCAAAAAAAAAAAAAAATTTGCTATGTGAGGGACCAGCAGTTAGCGTAATGGCTATGTCGCTGGCCTCCCACATAGTCGACCGCGGTTCGAGTCCCGGACCCGGTGGCTTAAACTCACGCCGGGCGCATGTGCGTGCGTGCCCAGGGCCCTGAGAGGAGAATGGAGGAGAAGGGATTGCGGCGTGGCCATCCCCCCTGGGGAGTGATTTCTCGCTTTCTGTCTCTCTGTCGCTCTCTCTCTGTCTGGCGAGCGCACGCGCCCTATAGCAA